TTCTCCTCATCCTCGGTGACAATGTTGCCCCCCGCGTCCAATAAAGGATGGAGATTCTCCTTGGCTCTCTTTTTGTCATTAATATATTTGTAAAAACATTTTTTGTTGTCTCTAACGACAGCGGCCAGATTGCGTTCTAGCTGGGCTTTTGCCTAGAGCCCTAACGCCCCAGGTCAAAATAAATCCTCAGTAATACTAATGGCAAAGCTTCCTTAGACTTCATTGGTTTCAAAATTTCACCAACAGGTCAAAATTCAGACTCAGGGTAGAAATTCTCCCAACCTTTTATAAAATCCATAAAATAAAACAGAAGCTTGAAGCAAAAATAAGATGTCTCAGAATTCTTAAAGTTGGTACACTGATTTTTGCAGTTAGAAGTAATAAAAAAGCCTGGTTCGTATACATAAATGTATAAATTCCAATAAACTCTGATAATCTTACTCACAAACAGATAAAGAGAAAACTTCATAGTGTTCCTGAAGTAAAGGGGAGAAGGAAGGACATAAAATAATATACAAAACCATGCCTGCTGCAAACGTTAAATCTAAGTGATCTATAAAAAACATACACATTTAGATAGTAAGCCATATTAATTTAAAAATAACAAGTGATCTTTATGCAGTAAAAATGTCTTTACTTTCAATAAATAAAGATAATATAGCTTTGTAATCTTTACTTTCAATAAAGAGAGATAATATAGCTTTGTAAAATTTTACAACAGGTAGGCATATTGCATAAATATGTGCACTGCTACACATACACAAGTCTTTAGGCAATGTACAGTAATGGATATCAGAAAATGAACATATGGAGTTTAGAATGTGTAGACTATGAGCACCACGGTAAAATACCCAGTAGATTAAAATTTACCACCTTAGTTACAAACAAGTAACTGTCTTCAAAATACATTCATATGGTCATAATGTATTGCCTTAATCTGGGAAAGTTAACAAAATCCTTAACATTGCAACATGAGTGATTTTCGGTTGGTACAAATCAATGAAATTCCACCGAAGTCAGAAGTTGTACATTGATTTGCACCAATTAAGAGTCTGGCCAAATATACTTAAAAGCTGTATTTTAAATGCAGCATATCAAGTAAATATCATAATGCAAAACATGTATTTTGAGAAAAATGCACAATTATAGAAAATGAACTCGACAGAAAAATTACAGCTATGCTGTAATAATAAATAAAATATGTGTAAGAAGCATTATTAGCACGTATAGTAATATATTAAAGATAAATGGATGTCCCAATGGACTTTTAAAGCTTAGTGTGAATACCATATCCAAATGAGGTTTTTAAGAGTGTAAAAGCTTACTAACTAATAAAAAGTTAACATTGTAAGTAAAGACAACTTTGCTTCATAATGATTTCATTGTTGTTTGATTACACCAAATGATAAAAATATTCTCACTCAATAATACTCTGTAAAAGGTGTTTCTTTTACCAATGTTTATGATCAGCAGTTTCTACGTCCGTGACTACCCATCGCTCACTCCTGTAGAGTCAGAAAGCTGGTGATTTTTCCCCAGCAATTAAAAGCTTGCATAGCTTCTAGTTTGTGAAGGAAACCAAATAAACAATTTGATTCTTTGCATGTATTGGTAGCATTAAAAATTTCTGTGTACTTACAGACAAGACAAAAGAGTCCGATTACTCCAACTGCCCATAACAGTGCGAGACGATTATGTTCCTTAATGCCCAAAAGCTCCTCTAGACCATTACTCTATGGCTCATGTTACCTGAGAAATGGTACATCCCCAAGAAGGTCATAGTCTGGACAGATTGCAACTTTCCAAGGACCAAAAAAGAGATACTTTTCTCATCTCAGTGGAACAGATTAACTTTTCAAGCATTTCTCTGCAGAGCTGTTCTGGGAAATCACTTTACAAAATCTATAACCTCGTTTAGGCTCAGGTCTGAAGATTTAATTCTTGCAATTCAGGTGTATCACTTTTACTGTTTACACTAGGAAGACAGCCCAACAATTCTAGAAACTGGCAAACTGGCCAGGAACATAGACACACTAGATCTGTGTAAATTTGAAAATTCAGAAGTAAGTTAATTAGATTTAACAAATTTGGTGGAATTTATTTAGAATGATAAAAATTCAATTATTTAACATTTGCAATAATTTTTACTTATAAATTAGACTACCAAATTACGGAATAAAAATACATATTTAATCTAAACTACCAGATAAAACATGAAAAAGAAGAACTACCCTTATATAACTTACCCAAAGTTATATATTTAAAAATAAAACAGAAACTCAAAAGAGTATTTTATTAGGTCATTTAATTTAGCGTGTTCAATTTTAAACTAACTCATGATTTATTTTTATATTGGTTTTGCTTTTACATATGAAGTCACATATACAAACAGTTCTAGCACTAAAGGCAATACCATATTTGAAAATTATTACATTTGATGGTTATTAGACTTCTATTGTAAGTAGTTTATACACTATTGAAAAGCAATTACAGTAGATAATAAATAATTGTGCAATGTCTTAAAAACAACTTAAAATAGAAAAAACTAATTTAAATTGTAAGAAAAAAGTAACGTTCAAAGCTGTTTGGGCATTTTGTTGAAAAAATGTGAACTTCTAAGTTAATAGATGGGAATTTTCAATGAACGTTGCAACGGAAAATCTGAGATTGGTAATTTTTAATCTCCTGCCAGATAAAAATGTATGGATATGATCATGTGCAATCATAATTGTCCTACGTGGTTTCTTTTTTTCAAGTGTAGTTAGATAATTAGATGGATTTTGTCTTTGAGAAGACATCAGAACCCAGGGGACCATCTGTGCTGACTACCGCAGAGGAGGGCAGAAATACAAAAGCCAGCACAAGTCAGCTAAGGCAGGAGACAAAGCAGCTAGCACGCACCTTCCACCTTCAAATAGAGATTCCGATGCTTGGAGCCCGCTTGGCACCTGCATTTTACAGGAGGTAGTGGAGACATACAGATTACGTAGGCATACTCTTGAAATAAAGGAGGAGTATAAAGTCACTTATATGCTATATTTTTCAGGTACCAGATAAATAGAAACGGGCATTTACCTGAAATTACAAACTAGAGAAAATGTACCTGCTTTATGGCATTACAGGGATAGATGCTCAGCACCATCCCGCTCCACGCCACAGCCTCAGGCAGGGGATCCGAGCCGCTCTCCAGAACCTGACCACTCATCTGCTCCTTCTTACCAACTTTTTGCTTATTAATGTAGTTTAGCCCTTTGTAACTGCACGACACAGAGAACTCGCATCCCTTGAGAAGCTGACACTGTAATAGTGGCAAGATGCTGTTTGCTATAGTTTTAATGTAATATTATAGTAAAACTTGCAGTATTGATATAGATAAGTTCTAATGCTATAGATGCAGAAAATAATACCCAGATATATGTGTTTTAGGATATAGTATTACTTTTCAAATGGATAATGTCTTTAACTATTAATATGCAATGTATATTAATAATATTCCAAAATTACTATTCTTTCAGTTCAACTGTATATACTTTCATTATACTATATAAAAAGGTGAAAAGAAGTAATTGATTGGAGAACTAGCACCTACCTTTAATTATGGAGGGCCTACATCTAGCACTAATGGTCATACTGCAAATCCTTAGCTTCACTCACACGATAACACTTCATTTTAATCAAAGAGATGGTTCTATCTCAGAACCACTTCTGGTTTTACTCTGGACCATCGCAGGTGTGGGCCTGATATATCTCATACTACAGCAAATGGGAAGATTTCCCAGGCGAAAGCTGGGCGAGGTTTAACAGCAATAAAAATGTTGCAGAGGTAGGGAGAATTCTCTGAAATACAGTTAGAAATAATGGCAGTATATTAGTATTATTATTAATTTCTAGTCTATGTTATTCTATTTCTTTACCAAAATGCTGCGGGAAAGAGGGGGGTGAAGTGAGGTTAAGAATTTGAATCAAGCCCTGGTGGGTTCCCCATGTGAAGCTATTCCTGACCTCCCCTTCATGCTCATGTGCTTTTGCTATCTTCACATATTGCACAGGCAGTAAGGACCTTCACTCCGACAGATCTGTCCCCCATCGAGGGATGTGTGCAGTCAGAGAAAGTATGCGTGGTGGAACCAAGACCTTCCCTATGCTCTACCTTTTCGCTATAAGCAATATTGCCTTGAAGTCAAACTGCCATTGTTATTTTCCTTTCCCCCCCCCCTATTGTTGATGTTATTTTTGTTACATCTTTTTTTTGTGGTTTAGTATAAAAGGGATTAGCTCCAGCAGTCAGCAGCTTGTGCACATACTACAAGTAGGCAAAATTTGTCACGGTGACATCAAATCACTAACACAAACAGATCTATTACCCTTTCTCTCTTGCTCAGTAAGACAGCTGCCCTCAAGGTATTAGTCTCTCAGCCTCCCTGATAAATCACTGACATGTAGGAAACCTGATTATCTCAACATAGCAGGGGTAGAGGATGCTATTCAGCTGCAGAAGAACATGGAAGAACAACATCCATGAGGCTTATAATGAAAGATTTTTGATATACTTAAGTAGTTAACAAAAATTTATTGCAAGAGATAGTTTGTCACTAGATTTACAGTTTCAGAGAACATAGTACAAAACATAGTGCATCAGCTTTGTCTAAACATTAAATAGGTGCAAATACACAAAGATAAAAAACAAAAAGTGAATACTTTACAACATAAGTTATAGAACTATAAATATATTTTATATACATTATACATATTCTAAGACATGATTTTCACTTATATAGAGAGAGTTCATATTAGTATCAGACTATTCAGTGCTTTAGTTATAGTATAGGTCTGAACTTTACATGAATGTTTGCATCATTATACTTACAGTAAATGCTTCCCAAAGAATGAGGAATTTTAACCAGTTTATTTCACAGAACCGTTTTGCAAAGCCGAGGGGACCGTTGAAACAGCAGGACTGTTTAGCTGAAGGCTCCTTACCCCATCCCCGAGAGCCTGTCCTAAAAGAGGGGCTGCAGGGGAATGACAGCCGGGTGCGGGGACAGCAGGGATGGGAAGACGGTGTGTGGCAGCGGGGGAAACGCCAGCTGGGTCGGGTGCAGGACTGAGGGCGGCAGCAGCGGCAAATGTGGCGGGGCGACGAAAGCTGCATGCCCCCCTGGGCAAAGCCTTGGTCCTACTGGTAGATGAGGTAAAGGCGCTCTGGAAAGAGCTGGGACCTGGGAGAGGAACTGCTGGTGGGGCTGGAGAACCTTCAACGTACTGGCGGCAGCGTGCTGCTGCAGGACGGTGTGATGGATGGTGGTAACGGAGGTAGAACACAGTGGTGGCTGCAAGGGCAAGGGCTGCAGCGGGGAATTTGGGGGCTGGATCGCCGGGGAAGGAAAGGTGAACTTCACTTTGTTGGCCAGCATGTTTTGTGGCATGATCTGCTGATACGTCTCAGATGGGAGGTCTTTGAATTTTTCGTGGTTATCTGGAGGGAATATCAATGTCTGATCTGGCAGGGTGAAGGGGGCTATTAACTGCTCGGTAGTTAAAAAGGTATGACTGTTTATATGTGCTTCTTTGAAAGGCAAAGGTGGTGGGCTGCTAAATACACCAGGATTACACTGTACCCATTCACTGGTCACCTCATTTATTTTCTCATGCGGTAGAGACTCAGCCAATTCATAATGGTAAAGGTAGGATTTAGGAGGAGCTTGTTCCAAATGTCTGCTGGGGAGGGGAAATTTGTAACGAGCTTGATTTTCACGACTGTTGGCGTTTTCTTTTTTCTTTTCATCTTGTAGAACATCCTGCGTGCCAGCAGCTGCTGGAGCACTGTGCTCAGGAACAGAAGCAGCAGAACCTGCGACGACACCAGAAAATGTACTCGGAGCACTCTCCATCGCTGTGCACGCTGCCAGTTTGTCGTTTTCCAGCATGTGTGAACTATCAGCTTCTAGAGGTGACTTGCTTTCCTCCAGCTGCATTGTTTCATCCGTATCTCTTGCATGATCAGCTTTGGGATCCACATTAGTTTCCTCTAGACTGTCTTGAGTCAAGAAGTCCCCCAGAATATTTAACGCAGAATTTGCAGAATTTTCTTTGGAAGGTCTGGAGATCTCACTTCTTGCGTTCCTGTCACGGAATACGTGATGGATTCTACTTTTCCTCCTCCTGCGTTTCCCTTTTGCCTTGTGATGTGTACCTAAAGTGCGCGCTTGCCTTAGATATTCCTCTGCTGATAATGCCTGTCCGTATGAGCTTTCATCTGATGAAGAGGAATAGGTATGCTGTCTCCGCTTGCGGTGGGATTTTTCAGGTTTCTCTGTCAGAACGTTGTAACCTCTCTTTATGGACTGGTTTTGACTTGGACTCTTCTCCTCACTGCAGTGTCCTAAACATTTATGCTCTAGGCTACAGCTTAACCTCCTGACTTTCCAGCTACAACATGTTTTAGAGTACCTTAAGCTGTGCCTCCTGGAAATCAGAGCCAACTGCTTTGCCTGTCTCCGAGAGCTTGCTTTGCTCTTTCTGTGTGGTCGTTTACAACCATGGTGCTGGTTGCTATTTGTTGCACACCAAACATCACACCAGTCCCTGTCCCCATGTACATGATCTGGCACAGACATGAATCTCTTACGACCATTTTCAATGCCAAGTTTTTGACGTGACTGCTGTATCTCACCTGTAGCTAGCCAGATATTCCCCGCATCATGTCTGCACTTCTCTGGATTATTTTGGAGGTGCTGGTATTTATTTTCATCTCTGTAACTAATTTCTTTTTCAGTCACTGAGGACATCTCCATTTCTGCTGATGTTGTGTCCCCACAGTGATGATGATGACAGTGACATAATTTTCTTCTCCTTTTCCGTTTTCTACTTTTGTGAAGCCATTTTTCATGGCTTTCTTTGATCCAGACTTTGTTATATTTCTCATCTATCACAGTGTTTTGTTGTAAGTGATTTTTAGAAACGTGATACTTTTCTATTTTTCTAATCCTGAATGACTCATCCAAGGACACTTTATTTTGATTTTTTGCAAGATCACAATTTCTGATGAGGGAAACGTTACTTACAAGGGGTATTGTATAGTTGCACACATTTTTATTAATTTCTGTTTCATAATCACCACACTCTGAAGTAGGTTTATTTGTAAAATCTGAGACTAAGCTATGGTTGGATTCAGTTTTATGGTGCAAATGAGGTATGTTTGGCTGATGCTTGGGCTTTTCTTGGCTGTCACTTGCTCTTGATGACTTGAAATCGAAATATAAAGGATTACAGCTATAAGAAATTGATGGGTCTGTACTTGTGTAAATTAACATTTCCGACGGCCACTGAAGAATATTTGATCCATATTTGCTAAGAACAGGAACAAAGGGTTCACAAGGTCTCTTGCGCATGTCCGGTTTTCCTTGTGGGGCTCCACTACTACCTTCTTCAGATGGTGATGGAACTAATGCATCTGCACCCAGCTTTTTTATTTCAGTTTCAGTTGTGGATGAATCACTGTTCCTGTCTTTATCATTTTCCTCCACAACATCCTGCAGAGATGAACAATCCTCCACAACCGCCTGTGCAAGAGCCCTGTTTGCCCGCAGCTCGTAACCGCTGCAGCCCAGGGGCAGGACCTGAGCACTGTCCACAACCTCAGGCAGCGTTTGGTCCGGTAAGTCTGCTGCACTTAAATCAATACCATAGCCATCCATGTCCAAGGACACCAGTTGCTTTGAATGGGACACAGCAGGATTTAATACAGGACTCTCTAGCACCCTGCTTTCTTCACTGGCCAGCTCGTTTAACTCCTGAGCTTCAGGAGCTTCTGCTGTGTCTCTGCATTTTTCCACCAGTGGGTGAGAACAGTTATGTTTCTCCTCAGGGCACAGGACTATTTCTGCCGCTGAAGGAGACTGAAGGTTACATGCTCCTGGAACAAACCTACTTCTTCTGCTAAATCCGTGCTCCATAGACGTTTCATCATTATATTCATAGAAAACAGCAGCTGAAGACTCCAGTTTGACTGCTGCTTTCTTAGGAAAAGCAAAAGAGAACCCAACTCTATGTCCTTGAGCTCCTTGAACCTGATCTCCGCATTTGTTAGCGTCAGATTTATTATTGCATGCATTTCCAGGAGTGGAAGAAATAACAGAAGCGATGTCTTTACAATTCTGCGCATCGTGCATTAACGTGCAGCTGAAATCCTGTTTGTTGGCAGAATCTATGGCAGCACTTTGTGGGACATCATTGCAATGATCTCGCACAGTCACTGTAGTGGATTTGAACATAGGGCCGCTTCCAGGAGCACTAGGAAGGAAAACAAAACTCGGAGTCAGTACCTTTCAGAGAACTGCAGACAGAAATACAGTGTTACACTGGTGTGCAAGAGATTTTTTTTAAGGAAAGAGGAAGAATCTGTGGATACGTAGCTTTAAAATATGAAAAAATGTCATCTTTTATAATAAGATCAGTTGACTAGTATAAAAATAAAAAAAAGGAGTAAATATTGTGGCCCCAGTTCCTTCATGTGAAGTTATCAGCTGAAGGGCTAATATTCCTACAAGGTAGTTCACTTTTCCTAGACATACTGGCTGGCCTAATAAGAGACTGTATATCTCCCCAGAAATTTTGCTTCTCCTCCCAGTAGACCATCATGGTTACAACACTATTACTACAAATAGCACAGGTTTTACATTCTTTTGTGCTACAAAATATATTAAAACAGAGAGTGCCTCACAGACCACTTCCCTCTTAGTCATCATCCTAGTGACTGCTGCTCTGCCCACGGGCAATCACCCAGGAGCTCCCATCCTATTTGTGTTCACAGACCAAACCGTCGCAATCTCAGCAATTTCTTTCGTTGAAAAATAATATTGGGGAGAGTATTTCAGCTGACAGTAGTGCAGTAAGTGATTCATCCCTCTTGAGAAAAAATTTATCACTGTCTACTTCTGTTCTTCATTCCATGTCCTCTTCCCATCTGTTCTATTTGACTTAATAGGAAGCAAAGAGAAGAGCAAAAACTGTTTAAGCTGCCAATTTTCCAGGTTCCATAGGAACTGCTCAGCATGAGCAGTAATGGACCTATGTTAAAACAATTTTTTTTTTGTTTTAACCAAATTATTCTGAGTTACAGTGCAGAGCAATACTAGACGATGGGTCATTGGGAAGACTTGCAAGTGTCATTTAGGACCCCAAGAAGTGCTGAGATAAAGAATGATGAACTTAATCTATTGGGTCTAGAAATTAAGGTAGAGGTTTTGGGAGAAAAGAATTCCTCATGAGAGTTCTTGCCTTGTCCAGTTCTTCATAAATTTAAAATATATATTAAAAACCCCACACAAATCTTTTCTTTAACAGAATAAAATGGTGACTTCTACAAAACCAACCTAGAAAAAACCAGTTTAAAAAATCCTGTGTGTGTCTATATCACACCTCTAAGGATGCAAAGTGGTAGTAAACGGCAATTCTTAAATAGAGAAATAAAGCTCAGAGATAAATTCTCCTTTAGGAACTAGAAGAAGGATATTTAAAAAAAACAAAACAAAACCCAGAAACAACAAAACCCCGCAAAATCTGTGCTTCACTAGCATGGGAAAATGGAAACAATAAGTTTCTCTTTCCTCTTTCTCCTGAAATATGCTAAATTCAGATTTTGGAGTATGTTTAGGGGGAATAATATCTAATATCCTCAAGTATTAAATTTGGACAGTTAAAACACTGATGGAGGAGAAAGAATCTCTACATGAGTTATCATAAAAATATAAAAAAATTAAAATTAGGTGTCATGTTGCTCGTGTCAAACAGAGCTCACAACATTCATGTCCCATCCACCTGCTTAGACAGACTTTGTTTCAGCATGCTGCCCACCATCCAAACTATGGAGAAAGAGACTATTACTGAACAAGAGCTGCAACTTGGTTGGACTTCTCTGTTAGTTCATCCGGTGAGACGAAGGCTGGATAAAAAGAAAACATTTGCGTTTGAGCACTTAGTTTTTTGCTTTTTTCCCCTAAGATTCCACTGTGAAAGGTTGGTACATATATTTTCAGTGGCTTGTCAGTGTCATAACTGTGTCATATTTAAGTGAGAATACAGTCACGACTAGCAAGCTCAATATTAATTTCAACAGTATGCCTAGATGCAATACTAAAACATATGACTAACAAGGATTCACTTTTGCAGAGGGAGGTAAACACTGTTGAGCTGGCGAAAAGGAGAACTTACCTTTAAATATAAAAAAATCCAGTTACTGAAATTTAAAACTAGATTTCTGGATGCTTTCCCAGGCGAGCAGTTTGAAAACTAAGTCTCAGAGATCTGTTACATCCTAGAAAGACAGACTGTATTCCTCACCTCATCAATGAAGTAGTGTCAGCCTGCAAATGCATGACCTAGTTCACTCAGCTTTCAACCAGTGTGCCTGGTTTTATGAAATATATATGAAACATCTTTTTTTAAACTAAAAATACATGTCATTTTAGCTCCACTGAAAAAGCAACGTTAAACATTCATTTCTGCACATAGTGTGAATCAAATTACTGTACACATACTGCTTCAAAAATGCCATAAAAACGTGTGTGTGTGGTTCCAGCCGAGGGACTCCAACAGCCCTGCGTCCCACAGCACCAGCTAACAGTGGAGGGATTATTTTAAAGTATTTTTTGTTTCAGCAGCTATGCACTTACCACGTTGTCTCTTTCCTTAGCTCAGCTAGCTTGTGCAAACGTTGAAGGGCTTTTTCCTGTTTCCTTTCATCTTTTCGTGACTTAGATGCTACGTTTCGAGCAAACTCCCTCTGTTTCAGTTCCTTCAGTCTCTGCAAGAAATAGTCATATAATGCACACAAAAAACCGAGGGATGATAACGTTTATAATGACAGTTACTTTCTGGTAAGCACTCATGGCACGAATTATTTTTGAACCTAACCAAAGCGATCCATTCAATAAATTTATACATTTCAAGTGAATAACCAAAATACACAGAGATGCTAAAGACAGGTTAGCTAGGTTAGAGATAACCTAGAAAATTTTACTGTAGCTTTTGTGATTAACGTAGACCAGCCTCAGTAGGATGAGGCAATGTTCATCCAGAATTTTGCTCATGACTCGCTTCCCAAAAACCTTCCTACAGCCCAATTGCTCTTTGAGATAGTAATAAAAAATAATGAGACCACCCCAGGTATTTTTCTGCAAAGCGGCTCTGTAGCCTGTCGACCCGGTATTAAATCTCGGGTTTTTCTGCCCGAGATGCTGGGCACAGCATTTATCACTGCTGAACCATGGGAGGTCCCTGTCAGCCCTTTTCTCCAGCCTACCCAGGTCCCTCTGGACCTGCCCTGCCATGTTATCAGGGTGGTATCATCTGCAAAGCTCCTGAGAGTGCGCTGTCCTGCCATCCAGGTCATTACTAAAGACATTAAAGGGTCCTGTTCCAGCAGAGATCCCCAAGGGATGCAACGGCCAGAGAAGTCTTGTATTTTGAAATGGGAAGGTCCTCCCTTTGAAGGAGCTTTTTTCCTGCTCTTGCTGGTGTCTGATGCAGCAGTTAAGCAGACACTGAGGTTTGATCCAGTATCTCATTCAATTTCATCTCCAGCCTGTTTCTTTGGGGGGAAATTAAAATGCACAGCTTTGATTCTCCACATGAAAAGGGGATTTCATTCTCTTTATATCACAGAAGGACAATACGCAGAGACTTTCTTAATTCTTCATGTCAGCAAAAAGTATTCCTGTAAGTCCCAAATCCCATTGGTGTACCGCTCAGTTGCTCAGTGTGTCCCCAGTATGGCTCAGTCTAGGTGACATCATCTTATGAGATCGTAATTTCATGATTCTGGGAAGAACCCAGTAACTTGCCACCATTTAAGTGTCCAAGGGCTAATGGTTGGCCATGAACAGGGGCCACGTGGATTTGTAAAAGCAATAATTCTAACTTCAAATTGTTAGAGGGGTATTCAGTACTTTTCTTATCGATGGTGGCACATGTTGGATACACATGTAATGGAGTTTGCAGAAGTTTATAAGCACTGTTCTCCTGCTCCTTCTCAATTTTTTCTTTTGCCCCTTTTGTGATCCTTTTTTTCCTATTCACAGAAAAATATCCATCATATAACAGCATTCATTTACTCACTGAATTTGTCTTTGCCATTTTGGGTGATGCTAATGCCACCTTGGCAGTCCATTTAATGCCAAGAAACATATACATAGAAACATGCTGAGAAAGCAAACAAACATCTGCAGAAAAATGAGTACTACTCTCTATTTTCAAATTTTGCATTATTTTTCAAACACCTGGATATTCCTTTGAAAACATCCTTGATAGATACAGAGAAATAATTTGAAAGGTAATCACTTCTACCATTTATATTTTCTAGATAGTGTTATCAAAATTCATTTCATGGTGTTAATGCAGTATAAGGTTATAAATTCACTCAAAACTGGAGGTATGGTAACTTTTTTCCAAGAAAAAAGGTTTGAAATGTGATTTATCTTTGCAGAACATTTCTTACCCCTGTGCATTCTTGTTTTCCTAAAGATAGTATGATACTGACCCTCCTTCCCACCAGCCACTTGTGAAACCAGAAGTATTTCATTTTATAGGTAACTTCTGAGCACTCAGAATAAAGGAAAGGGATGAAGTTTGCTCCTTCCCCTCCCCACCTCCAGCCCTTGGCATTTAAAGACAGGATTTCATTCCATTTTGTAGATCCCAATAATTCTTCAGTTTTTTTTCCCCACCAATGTGTAAGGAAAGAAGTATGCGACAAAGCAAGAGAAGAAAAGAGAGATAAAAGGGTGCTTTTTCACAAGGTTAAAAAGGAGAAGCTGAGGTGTATAAAAATCCATAATCACCCTCCAGCAGCAGCACTTTACTGTAATTACTGGGATGATTATAATTAGTGATTTGATTCTGACCAGATTTTGACCCCTTTTCTCTTACTGCTGAAAGTTAGCAGGACTCCATGCCATCAGGAGTGCTAAGTTAACACAACTCCATGTTTCAGGGTGTGAGTAGGGTCTCGCTCACAGTGAATAAGGACAATGCTGTTAAAGGAAGTTTTAAGTGATCTTGGAGGCATAGAAGATGCGTTTCATGCCTATCGTTGCCAAGCAAACATCATTCTACTGATCGGAGCCTCTCATCAGCCAGATCAATCATTATCTGTTTAGCACATACCAGATCTGGTACAGAAGAACCGTTCACAATTTTTAAGTAATTAAATTGTTCCCCTTGATTGCTACATTGTTTTGTGTGCACAGCCTTTATGTTGGACTGTCTGCCCTTCTCTTCTGGAGAACTACTTGTTCCAGAGCTCCCCTTCTGTCAGACCTCCTGTCAAACACACCACCCTTTTCCTGTACGGAAAACCGGTATTAGCAGAATATGAACTAGTTATACAACGTGGGTTGGTTTGTTTGGTTGGTTTTTTTTTCTTACAACTGGTATCTCAGCCTTTTTCATGGAGAGCTTTAATGATCTATAAGGATTATACCTCGGTAACTCCTGAGGACTTTATTCAGCAAATACATATGTATAAGTGGAACTTTTCTTAGTTGTAAACCACAAAACATGCACCTGATGCAAGGTGGTTTGAGGCCTGGTTGGGCAGTTTCCAAAAAATAATATTTCCTATACATAAAAGGTCATCTAAGTGAGAAAATGTGTGTCCCCATTTCTTGATATTTTAGTTATTTTCCATTTGTCTTTATTTAGCCATCCGATAAGCTATCGTAACCTGCATTCCCTTACTGCACTTAGTCATGCTAGTGATTGCTAGCACTGCATTTATGCTGCCCTATATTTGTATTTTGTTGGGTTTGCTTGTATTATGCAAATGAAAACAAGATATTACCCAATTATATGTAAAATGCCATTAGTTACAGAATCATAGAATCATTAAGGTTGGAAAAGATCTCTAAGATCATAGAGTCCAACCGTCAACACAACACCACCACGCCCACTAAACCATCTCCCTAAGCACCTCATCTACACGTCTTTTAAATACCTCCAGGGATGGGGACTCAACCACTTCCCTGGGCAGCCTGTTCCAATGTTTCACCACTCTTTCAGTAAAGGCACTTTCCCTCACATCCAATCTAAACCTCCCCTGGCGCAACTTGAGGCCATTTCCTCTCGTCCTATCGCTTGTTACTTGGGAGAAGAGACTGACACCCACCTCGCTACAACCTCCTTTCAGGTAGTTGTAGAGAGCGATGAGGTCTCCCCTCAGCCTCCTCTTCTCCAGGCTAAACAACCCCAGTTCTCTCAGCCGCTCCTCATAGGACTTGTTCTCCAGACCCTGCACCAGCTTCGTTGCCCTTCTCTGGACACGCCCCAGCACCTCAATGTCCTTCTTGTAGTGAGGGGTCCAAAACTGAACACAGTATTCGAGGTGCGGCCTCACCAGTGCCGAGTACAGGGGCACAATCACTTCCCTACTCCTGCTGGCCACACTAGTTCTGATACAGGCCAGGATGCCATTGGCCTTCTTGGCTGCCTGGGCACACTGCCGGCTCATGTTCAGCCGGCTGTCGACCAACACCCCCAGGTCCTTTTCCACTGGGCAGCTTTCCAGCCACTCGTCCCCAAGCCTGTAGCGCTGCATGGGGTTGTTGTGGCCGAAGTGCAGGACCCGGCACTTGGCCTTGTTGAATCTCATACAGTTGGCCTCGGCCCATTGATCCAGCCTGTCCAGGTCCCTCTGCAGAGCCTTCCTACCCTCGAGCAGATCAACACTCCCGCCCAACTTGGTGTCGTCTGCAAACTTACTGAGGGCGCACTCAATCCCCTCATCCAGATCATTGATAAAGGTATTGAACAAGACCGGCCCCAATACTGAGCCCTGGGGAACACTGCTCGTGACCGGCCGCCAACTGGATTTAACTCCATTCACCAGATAGTCCATGCATTCTGAGTATCACAAGGCCCCCCCCAAAGTTGTTCAAAGTAAATGGCAGCAGTAAAAAACCAAGTGTGCCTTATTCCTAAAAAGCATCTTTTTCTTAACGTTTTTATGCCTTTCCATGTGGCAGAGTTATTCACTAATGCTAACTTCAATAGTTAGTTTAATGCCTGTTACGTTTGTTTGTTTCCATGGATCAGTAAGCAAATAATTAGCAGGCAGTCATACAGTATTTATATATGATTCCCTCCTGTATTTTGCTCTGCTTATGAACAAGCTCAAAATGGGTAAGTCCTAGCAAGCAGAGTTCAACAAACAGTTCACAATGAATAATTAAATGACACTTCTCCAAGAGAACTAAATGCCTTCATCATTATCCTGATATGCTGTATTGCCACTTTGAACCTGCAGAGCACAGACCACCGTCAGTTTGCAAATGACTTCTCCCAGCCCGGAGCAATGGGAAGCCTAACCCCGATTCTCCAGCCTTGCAATGGGATCCTGCAACTGGGCTGCTTTCACTCGGGCAGAAGCTGGATTGTTTTAACAAACCTAACTGTAACACGGGGCCTGAAGCAGAAATATTTCACCTATTTGTAAGAAACTCAGCTGGGAATCTTACTGCACACCCATTACATCATGGTGAGCTGAGGTATGCAAGTCCAGACGAAAAGGAAGACTTTACCAGCTCCTATGTATCTATGCACGAATGAAACTATACATGAGAAGATCACATGAGGTCCAAACTCAGGTGTGACTGCATTTCACCCAGAGGCATACAGCTCAGGTGTCCCCAGGCTTGCCGTGGAAGACACTCATAAAAAAAAAAAATCAAAGAAATCCTAAGTGGACTTCCAACAGGACCCCATTTCTGGTTACTTCACCCTTGTCTTCATTTCCCCATTTACCACAAT